TATTAATATCTATGTGTAGCAACTACGAGATTCCCTAGATCAAAATGCGGTTTCTAGCCTTCGAGGAATTCACATTTTTAAATTTATTTTTACCTCAAGATAAATTCTATTATTAATATTGAGCAACTATGAGATTCTCTAATCGCTTAAATATGTATCTTATTATTAATAGTGATCAACTACGAGATACCCTAGTTTTAAATTCACAGCTTGGCTCATTTTTTCGCTTACTGCACAAATAAACACATAAAAATGAAAACAACAAAAATAAACTATAGTTGTTCATTTTCGATATACCCGTTTAACTTGTTTGCCTTAGGGTATAATAACAGCGCAAATCTGCAGCCCAACACTTCCGTCCTCGTCGCCGTCATCATCGTCGGTCCCTTGTTCATTGCACCCCCAACGTATTGTACATTGACTTCTCTGGGCTACGCTTTGTTTTCTGCATTCGCCGACGGCAGCGTCGCAACAATGCGCTCTCACACTCGCTCTCTCATGCTCATGCTCGCGCTCTCGTTATCGTTCTCGTTCTCGTTCTATGCGCTGGCCTTCTCTTGCTGAGCGACATTCCCATACCACGACCTACCTTACCCACACCCACAGTGCGCTTTCAGCTTTCTGCTTTGGGCTTTGGCCATTCTTCCGTGCACAACTCCCGCCCAGCAGAGGCCGATGTTGTTGTTGTTGTTGCTGCTGTTGTTGCTGATGGTGTCTGCTGCTGCCGCCGCAGTCGACGCTGCTGCACAAATTCGCAGTTCAGTTTTCATATTGAAAGTAGAATTTTTCACTTTTGCAAATTTCTGTCTCGTTTCAGTCGCGTTAACGACGTCATGTCGCACGTTTGTTCTGCATTTGGTCCTCTGCGAGCAGTTTCAAGTTCTCCCAGCCAATTCTTAACTACAGATGCGCTCCGAATGTTATTGTTGTTGCCTGCTCTAGTCTGACGGCATATAAATGTGAGATTAACTTTCAATTGTTGTGAGTGGCAAATCTATACTTAATTGCATATCGGTCGAACTGTATTTTACGCGTGTGCCTGTGTATGTGTGTGTGTTGATCGACTGATCAAAATGATCACCGTTAAAAACTGTGCTTGCTGCAATGTGCTGACAATTGGAATATGTACTGCGAAGAATGGATAATAAAAGAGATTACAAAAAAAGTATGCTGTCAAACAATTTAAAAAAAAAACTAAGCTTAAGTATATAAACTAGATATATAGAAGAATTTTTAACTTCGCTTTTCAAATCTAAGGGAGTGATTATGTTAAGGGATAAGCAGAGCTTTAGATGCAATCAATCGCCGTCAATCAAGCTGACCTTTCAATATCAAGATCATTTCAATTGAGTCATTAAGATGACGTTCCGAAAGGACCTTTCTCGTTTAGATTGTCTGCCCAAAATGTCTGACTCATTCCAGGCCAGCCCACAAATGGCGCCCACTTTTGCACAACTTCAGAACTCCAGACATTGCAACCCTCATTAGGCCCCCATACCTTCAATGTCTGGCCCGAATGGGGCGGGCTGCAACTCCAATTACCCCCGCATTACCATCACCAGGCAACCAACCATTGAATCTCTTTCCGTCTGGTTCTTAACAGGGCGCTGTTCGCTCAACTGTAGCGCCGCTGTAGACGCGCTGTTAAGTGCGCCAGTGACACACACAGCGGCAGCCGCTGTTAACCTTGCCTTGGTATTGGTGAACTTGACTAAACACGCGCCAGCTGCTCTCCCGTTCTCTCGCAGTCTTTGCGCTTTGTAGTTGTGTTCGCACGCGCTCTCACGCTCTCTCTCTCTCTCTCGCTCTCCGGCTTTTGCATTTCTATTTCAAGTTCTTCTTCACGCTATGTATGTGGAGCGGCGTTGTCAGCAATGAGCATTCAGTGTTAAGGTCAATACGTTTGTTGTGTTTGCATTATGTACACACACGCACACATGTATGTCTGTTTCCACATGACTGAAATGAGACTGCATCTATGAGATTGCATTTTGCTCGCTGATTACTTTGCTATTGAATTTTGTCACTGGCGCTTGTTAACGCGCACACACACAACTTGGCATGCACATGTGTTATTTTATTGCTCATTGCTCGTTGCGGTTTTTTGTGTTTGGGGTCAAATTGTGACTCTTGACAACCTGACGTTTACGGAAGCTTTTCATGGCGCCCTTGTGTGTTGCTTTTGTGTGATTTATGAACTGACTAATGCGAATGCATCACATGCGAAACGTGCTCACAAAAGGTGTTGACAATGCCAGTTGAGAAAGTGTTTGAAATTGTAGTCTTACCAAAAAAAGAGTTAAGTTTGCACTCTTTAGAAAAGTCTTATACGGAAAGCCTTTCGACTGCAGCCTAAAATAGAATGAGCCAATTTTGGCTAATTTAACTTCCCTTAAGTCTCCAAAACACGAACCTACCTCAATGCGTAACTCTGTCTGTCTGTTATAGTAGCTCCGTACGCACATTACTCATACGCACTGTTGTTGTTGTTTTCCATGTTTTGTTTTTGGGCGGAAGTTACCGCCCACTCAAACTTCGCTTGAAAAACACAGCAACCCAGAGAACTACCCTTGTTCATTATTAAATTATTCTTCTTTTATTTTGTAAGCAACCCCCTGTTTGTTGGCGCAACTCCGTCAAATTTGTGGACCCTACTCATTCCATAATTTGTTAACCCCAAACGAAACTTGGTTTGTGCGTGTTTTGACGTTCGTCTGCTCATTCGCGTTTATTTTTGTTTATTTATGTTTTGCTTTTTGTATTCTTTACAGCTTTGCTTCCTCATTTGCTAGCGCAAGCTCACGCTCTCACACACACACACACGCAAGCGTGTCGCCTCTCGCATTCTCTCTTCTGCTCATTACGTTCGGCTATCGACGCTTCCTCGCTCTCACAGACGTGCCCACTTTGCAGCCACACACAACGACAACGAACGGTTTTCACTTTCATTGTGCAGCTTATTCGCCCACTCACACAGACTCTCACACACACGCACACACACTTGCGCTCAGCAGGTTTTTTTCGTTCTGCTCTGCTCTGCTCTGCTCTGTTCTGTTCTGTTCCGTTCTTCTCTCGCGCCTTTGCAGGCATTTGCGATTTTCAGTTTCAGTCAGAGAAAGTACGGCGCACGCAGCGGTCGCGAATTCGAGGCGCGTCCATCAATCAAGCTAAAAAACACCAAAAAATTGCCGTCGCTAATTTAATTTATAATTAATTGATTGCTGCCCAACTTAAAGCTGACAAAATGTGCAACAAATGCATGCAAATTAATGCAAATTCCAATAATAATCAAATAAGCAAATGAATAGCTGTAAATGCAAAAGTGTCTCAAGCTCTTAACATTGGGTCTATCTCTGTCTATGTGCCTGTGGCTGTGTCCGTGTTCGCGTCGCGCTGTGTCCTTGTCCTTGTGCAGCGCCCAACGGTCGCTGTAAGCCGCCCAGCCGAACAGCTGTTGGTTGCCAGTTCAAGTCCTCGTGCTCGTCCTCGTCCTCGCCAACGTCCTCGTCCTTGCCGCTGTTGCTTTTCACCTTGCTCTTGAACGACGCCTAGGCCCTCAATGTCAGTGTCAGCCCCATTGCCAGTGTCGCCGTTGTCAACGTATTGGCTTTTCGCAAAATTAAATACTCACTTTTCATAATTTGTGGTATATTATACGCCCCGCCACGCCACGCCCCGCCCCGCCGCGGCCACAGCTGCGGCCAGCTGTTGCTGCAAAACTAAATCACAATTGCAAATAAATCAAATTCAGCTTTGAATATGCTGCTGAACGAAACAGCTGCAGAGTTTCTGTAAAAGTATCTGGCCAAATAGCAATGTGTTTCAATAAGCTGTACCTATTAAATAAATGCGTGAATTCTACGCCAGGTGCACAGGTCAAATGTCAAACATAAGTGCTAAACACAAGAGTGCAAATCAAACGGATGCACAAGAATAACCTAACGACGAGATATGCAAATGATTAATATACAAAGTGACATAATTAACTAGAGGCCGCAAGTGCCTCTCCCTCTCTCTCTCTCTCTGTCGCGCGCGCTCTCTCTCCGTCTCTCTCTTTCTAAAGAGAGCCAAGGAATAAGAAACTGCAATGCAACATTTCAGTTCGGGCTACAAAAGAAAATCCATTGCAAGTTAATGAATGATCACACAACTACACCCACACACACACACACATGCACACACATATATGTATATATATATATGTATATATATATATTTTTATAACGGTGTTTACTAGCAGAGTTTGACAACAACAATATAAATAAATTTAATGCTCAGGTGAAAAAATACTAAAAAAGAAAAAAACCAAACAGCAAAAAAAAAACAAATTTAACTAATATTTATTAAAAGGCAACTATTGCGTTGTGTTTCATGTGCAAAATATTAATATATACCTGTAAAACATATACATACATATAATTATATAAATATTTATATATATATATATATATTTTTGGAGATAAATCAAACATATATTAAATACATATTAATCGATAAATTAAGTGAATGAATTTAACTAAAATGTTATCAAGCGCTGACAAATTGTCATAATTTCAACATACTCGTACTCTCGACACTCTAATTTATACGCATATATAATTAATTATAAGAATACAAGTATTCAACAATAAATATCGGAGCATAAATATAACTAATTGTATATTTTTGCATATTATTCAACAATTTTAAACAATCAACAACTCATCAATCAAGCTAACAATCAATCAGGTCTTTAAATTATTTATAAAAGTAAGTGCGCTTCCCTTGCCAGATATTAAGTTAAATATATTATGTTAATATAACAAAATATATTTATACTAAATTTTAAATAATTATTTAAAGAAAAATTCAAATGAATTTGAAAGAATTTAAGAAAATCTTTGAATCAAACAACAGCTAAATATTTAAATATATTTATATAGATTCAAAGCATATGCCTGCAGCATACTCATACTAACTTTTCTTCTTCTTCTTCTTCTTCTGCCTCTTTGTTAATCAAGCTACTTAAAATACCTAAAACATACTCATATTCAACACAAAAAGCTGCTGGGGAGTCGAAAGGAAACCAAGAACAAGTATTATTAGTAATTAATATATTGGAACATCCAAAAAAAAAACCATTCTCAATCACAACAAGGCCTCACGATATTTAAATATATATACACACACATATATATATATATATATATACATATAGCTCTGGGCAGGTTTAAGGACAACGCTAGAAAAGTAAGAACAAAATTCTAGGATACCACAAAACGAACTACGAATCTTTATTGTAAATGAAAACAACTTTGCAACTTGAAGGCTGATAACATTTTGATAATCCAAACAATACAAAAAAACCAAGAAACCTAGTGGATATATATATTTGCAACAAGTGTAAAGAAGAAGAGACTGATTTTTACAAGCAGAGCAGAGGAGCAGCAGGAGAAATAATACTTAGAGGCAGAACAGCAGAGGCAAAGGCGAAGGTGATTCAGGATCAAATCCAACAAGCGCAACTTTCCAAACGAACATTTAAATACACACACACACACTCAAACAGATACATATAAATTGAGTTATATATAGATATTATATATTTGTACGATTTATTTGCAACATGCTTAAGAAACTCAAGTGCATGGAGGCGGCTGCCGCTGCCGCCGCGGCTGCAGCAGCTGCAAGCGGGCCCAGCGCAAAGATCATCAAGACGGAGCCCATCGATTTTGAGATGCTGCATCTGGAGGAGCAGGAGCGACACCAGACAGAGCCCAGCAGCAGCAGCAGCGGGAGTGGCAGCAGCAGCGGGAGTGTGGCCGGCGGAGGGGCAGCAGGTGCCACAGCGCCGCAGCGCTACACACACGTCCAGGTGCAGACGGTGCCGCCGCGCCAGCCCACTGGCCTGACCACGCCCGGCGGCACACAGAAGGTGATACTGACGCCACGTGTCGAGTATGTGCAGCAGCAGCAGCAGCAGCAGGGGCGTGTCGCCGCCGCCGCCGCCAGCTCCAGCAGCCTGGCCGGCATCAAGCACATCTACACGCAGAGCGTGGGCAGCCCCACGGAAAACGCAGCCGCGCCGCAGATTATAATAACGCGCACGCTGCCCGCGACGCAGTCGCATCATGGGCATCTCTCCCGCCGCCATTCCGCCAGCCCCTCCGCCAGCCACTATCAGCAGCAGCCACGTCTGAGCGCCAGCCACGCCCACTCGCCGCCGCCACTGCATCATCAGCAGCAGCAGCAGGAGCAGCAGCAGCAGCAGGAGCAGAGATCGGCTGGCCAGCAGCATGTGCGCGTCATACGCGATGGCCGCCTGTATGAGGAGTCCATGTCCGGCAGCGGCTGCTCCACCGGTGCGCGTCGTCTTTCCGTTTCGCCGCCGCCCTTGCATCATCATTCGCGTTCCGCGCCCGTCTCGCCCGTAATACCCAGGCGCGCCTATGTGGAGCAGTCGGCACATGTGCAATATCAGCAGCAGCAGCAGCAGTCGCAGTCGCAGCAGCGTCAGACTTCGCCGCCGCCAAACCAACAACAACAACAACAGCAGCAGCAACAATTTATTAGTGGAGCGCCGCCCACAGCTGCTGCTCGCAAGTTTGTGGTCAGCACGAGCACGCGTCATGTCAACGTCATCGCGGCCAACCACTTTCAGCAGCAACAACAGCAACAACAACAACAGCAGCAACATCAGCAGCAACATGTCATTACCAATGTCAGCTCCAGCAGCGCCGCCTCCGCCTCAGCCTCCTCCACCTGCCCAGCAACATCCGCGTCGTCAACATCCTCGCACATCTTTCGCACGCCCATTGTCTCCAGCAGCAGCAGCAGCAGCAGCAGCAATGGTTGTCAGCAACAGTTGCCGACACACCATCATCACAGCAACAACAACAACAACAATAGTAACAACAATTTGAGCGGCAATTCGGCAATGCGACCGCCACCGCCGCCGCCGCCGCCCAAGGTAAAGCATGCCTCCAGCCTGGGCAACGGCAACAACAACAACAACAACGTCAACAACAACAACAACAGCAGCAGCAGCAGCAGCAATGGCGAAGAACCGTCCAGCTCGATTCCTGATCTGGGTAAGTGCTCGATTTACCAATATCTGACCGCATATACATACTAACATATATACATATAAATATAACTGTAACCCGTTGACCCTGGACACGACTTGTTGCGGCGAGTCGATAGCTTGACTTGTTCTATAAAACTACGCTACAAAGTTACTCACTTTTGCAGCATTTACATAATATAATCTATATATATATAAAGGGACCATAATTATCCAAACTCCATTAAAAATTTGACTAGGGTATTACGTATTTCAGACGTGAGAAAGATCTGCACATTTAAAAATAATTGACAACAAAAATAAATACAATCATTTTTTTTATACTTTGAATATAAAATATAATTAATACTACCTACGATTCAGCTTTTCCAATCATATTTGTATTTAACGTTTGTCGGCATAGCCTCTTGTCAAAGTTAACATGCAATTTAACCTGCTTTTAAACACAGTATTGTTTGAATGTTCCTATTGCTTCAGCTGTCAAAATATACCAGGCAGTTCATAGGGCTGCCAAATATTTTGACAAGTAGACAATATGTTAACACAAAAAAACATTTAAAAAAATATAAATATAATTAGTTGATGTCAAGTCGGAGTTAACTAATTTTGCTTTGTGAATATGAAAACTATCTAATTTATTTAATGAATGAAGGACTTTCTTTAAAATCAGTTGATGTCAAGCTTAAGTTAATTATAGTGGCTTTCCCTAAAACTAGATAGATAGACTTGCTCTAAAATTAGTTAATATCGAGTGAATGTTTACTTTTTTTCTGAGAATTTAAAAGCTTTATCCAAAATCCGTTTGAACTATTAAAACTCACTAAAAAGCTAGCTTTTAATTTTGTCAATTTATCTGCACAACTAATTTAACTGCATGCCAAGAAACTTACTGTTAATTAGTTGAGCCTGAGCCACCCTGTAGCACAGTGTAAATCTGTAATTGTGTATTATGTAGCGCAATCTGAAGCGTTCGACAGCCAAGTGAATCGCCAGTTTATGGAGCTGCAGAACAGTTACTTGGGCAAAGTTAACTTGCTTTCACGCTGTTATTGTTTATATATATATATTGGTTAAACATATCTAGATATATGTGTACATATGTAAAAACTAGAAATATCAGCTTTCGAACGTGCTGTTTTATATGGCAAATAGCAGTTAGTTTTACAGTTACAAAAGGTCATAAAACCTAATAGATAAACATATAGATTCATGTATTAGATACAAACGGAAGCGCTTAACACTTGGAATCAGATACTCTTCATCCCTCCCCCCGCTCAGTCATAAATATTTTGTACACATTTCGCAATCCATCAGAATTTTGAATAGGCTTCAAATTAGCGCTTAATTCGCATTACATCACGCCCAGATTTTGTTTATATACATTTATTCTAATAACATTATAATATATATGGTATATGTATATATATATTCGAGTATATTGTTATTAGAACGTTGCTGAACTGCGCCTCGAATTTGATTTCAATTTAATTATCAATTTAAATTTTAAATTGTTTTCATTCTGCGCCACGCCCATCACCCCCCCGCGCCCACAAACTGTCCATATACACACTTCGTTCAACTCGATTTTCGTTCCAATTTTTTTTTTTTGTGTGTTTTTTTGTCAAGGCTGCGCATTTTTTGTTTGTGTGTTAATTTTGTATATACGATAATTCTTTTGCGTGTCTGTTTTTTATTGTTGTTGCTTTTTTTGTTGTTGTTTTGACTGCCGCTTTTGCCTTGAACTTCAACTGGAATAAACTTGGCGCGCTCAGCTTTTAATTCTCAATTCTTGAGCGGCTAAAAATAGATTGGGATTGCTCGAAGCGGGAATACCCTAATATAAAACAAAGATCTTCTGGCATTGTCTAATACTTTTTGCGGGAAACACATTCTCTATAAGCTCCAAGGCAGGAACTTTGCCACTCGCCCAACTTTAGAGTTCCTTGTTGCCAAATATTTTATATAAATATTACCACAAAAGTTTAATTTCTTTTAAATATGTTATATATATATGAAATGTGCATTAATTAATCCATTATTATATTTAGTTAAATAGCTTTTGACAAAATATTATATTGCAATACGAATTAAATATAATTAAATATGCATTAATTAATAATCGTTTTTGTTTATTTTAATATCTTTCGACAAAATATGCTACGATTTTCGCGGTTTAAATTGCAATAATCATGAATTAGGTGTACAAATATATATTAATCAATTGCGCATAAAAATAAATACTTTATTATGTTTTACAAAAATATAACATATAAACATGATTTATGCTGACACTGTGCTCGATATATATATATGTAATGCCTGTGATCTGTGTAATATATTTTTTGCTTTTTTCAAAAAGCAAGCAAATAATTTGCATTGAATACAATCAGGAAAACGTTTTCGTCGAATAAAAAATGCATTCAAAATTTGTTAAAATTAAACTAAATTTTTTACTTTTAATTTCATTTAAATTCGCTCAAATTAAGTTTGATTCGGCTGTGATTAATTCGTGTGTTGTTTCATTTCGGTTGTGTTTTTGTTTGAGCTACGCTGGAAACCTGTTCGCTGTAGCTCGCCCGAACAGAAGCGCGGAGAGAGGCCCTGTTAAGAGCGACAGCTCGGCGTGGGGCAGCGTCAACGCAGCATTCTAATGATATCATTTGGTTGGGTTTCGCCTTTTTGGCAAATGTCTCGACTATACGACAAAACGCATATATGGCCCGTCGGACAACTGATTTCTATTTATTTATTTGATTTTGTTTTATTTTGCTTCGCTTTTAACTGGCATACTGTCGCTTGGCTAATAAATAAACAAGTCTGGGCGCTGGACTGTAGCTGGCCGCTTATTAAAAGTTAAGTAAATAAAAGTCAAGGCCAAGTGTGGCTGAGCCTTTGGCAGCTTGAGATTTATGTTCGGGCTCCTAAATGGGTCGCCGGTCGCTGTGAAATTGTGTTTGCTCAGCTCTGGCATCTCTTACCTGGCAGCCTCTCGGCCATAGTCTAGAGCCCCTCAATGCAATCGAAGCGTAGCATATTTTCAATGTCAATGTCACGCACACACTATGTCGTCTCTTTGATAGATCTCAAACACTCGTCTATCAGCTGTGCCCCCCACTCGCACTCGCACCCCCCCCCCCCCTATCTCTTCCTCTCCCTCTCTCTCTCTCTGTCAATGTGTGTGCGCGTATACTTGATTCCGCTGAATGTATCTGAATACGTATACTGTATATGCGCCCCAATCAAAAGCATTTTGTTTTCACTCTTGTTATTCGAACGAATGCCAGCAATTGTCCACGCAGTCGCATTCAAAGAAAAGCTCAATCATAACAGAAAAAGTATATATATATCTGAATGAATTAAATGACATCGACTTGCCCACCTACTCCAATGTTTTATATTCAATGCATTTGTTATTGTTGAAAAAGTGAATTACTTAATATAAATATTTACAGGCTTATTATTTCTTAAGCAATTCAATATAAGCACATACTTTCAGTCACGATATAGGCCAGCAAATTTTTAGTCACATATTTGAATGTACAAATATTAATTGGGATTATCTGTAACTAAATCTTAAATCTGCATTTGACATAAATTACCTTGAGTTTAGTTCCGGCTTTAAAGTGACCAACAATTATTGCCGTGCATAGGTAGGCATAGAGAAACATGCTGAGGACTCTTCTATGCGATTCTCAAATGCTGAGAATTTTGTATCATTATACAGGTGTTCATTTATGGCTCATACGTTCAGGCTGTCTCTTCTGTTTTGTTGCACAGTGGGCAATAATAAACAATTTATAAATAAAATGTGTACTTGGAAATCTGTTGCCTGTAGTACTGTTCATATATGTACATCTATACATATGTATATATATATATTTATGCATATATATTGATAGACATATTTATATAGAGATTCCGCATACTGCGTTCTAATCAATTTTCATTTGATTCGTTGGCAACAATGAAAGCCATTTTCCGGCTTATAAGATTCACATCAGCAGCCAGGCGAATGACAACCCTGTTCAAAATATTGCTTAATAATATTATTTACCTATTATTTAATCTATTCGAGCGATTGAATAACAGTTGTTTATATAGCTATGGCCCTGAATAGGTATTAATCGTATTTTAATCGGAGGATTGCATTTGCCAAATACTAATGAAAGTAATTGATTATGACCTATTATGCAACTTAATTAGTAATCACAATGTCCAGAGGCCTTGGGGTTATGCAAACGGAATGCAACTATGTGCACAATAGCTATAGATCTGATGACAATTGGAATGGAATGCATTCGATTTGGACAGCAACAACAAAAAGTGTCATTTCACTTTTGTGTTAAAAAATAACGTTATATGTACATATATACATAGATACTTAATCTATTTAGCGACAATTACGAAACAATCAAAACAAAGTCACGCCAGGCGTTAGAAACGCCAATTGAAGTTACTTAACTAACTGGCTAACTAGCTACTTAGCCTTATTGTTAGGGGAAACAGTTAGCCAAACGGCAAACGCTAAAAAGGTGCAAGGTGTATCTGGCGGATAAACAGACCAGATACAAAACCAGTTTAGAATTGCAACAAAAATCAAATAAAAAACAATTATATAATGTGTGCTGTATAAATATGCGAATTACAAGTGGGAGCGCAATACAAACACAACAACAATAAGAACAACAATAAGAACAACAACAAGAACAAAAGCAGTAAATATAAAAGAACAACTAAAACAAAACGAAGCACAAGGTCATTTAGCGTCTGACGCGGCCAAGCGGCATTAGAAGCGGAAGAGAAATAGCAACAAATAATAATACGAGTAATAATAAAAGCAAAAGGCGGCAACAAAAATGTGACACACTGAAAGCACACACACACAGAGTGAGCAAGCGAGAGAGAGAGAGAGAGAGAGAACGAGCGAGCATGAGGGAGATACAAATTTATCTGCTTTTAAACAGAAGGTAGGGCAGCGGAGAGAGCGCGCGGGCGTGCACATTAGAC